TATATATATATATATATATATATATGTATAACATATATATATATGTATTCTTTAAATATTTATATTGAATAGAGTGTAAATAATTGTCTAAATGATAAGAGCTCAAGTATAACAAATTGTGTAACTTTCTAAGTGGAGTTTAGCCATGATATATGTAAACATATGTGTAGGTCTATGGGCTCTAGCTGCGATATGGACAGATGTATTTAACATCTATCTATATCTTACACAAGACTATATACATATATTTTAGATATACAGCCATTATAATAGTAATATATAATTGAAATAGTTATCAAATATCACAAAAATATTATTGAGTTTATGTATATAAATTCCAAATAAGGGATATATAAGACTATATATATATGTATGTATGTATATATATATATATGTATGTGTGTGTATATTATGTTAAGATTTTCAACTATTCAGAACCAGAACTTTCATATACAAATATAGTTACCAAGTTGATATATTGATACTTCTTGAGAACAAATTGAAGACTCGAAAAATATACATATATGTATATATGATATATGATATGATCTCTATAATGTGTAATTCCTTTGTCGTTTGTCTTTTGATTAGCTCGAAATTTCGTATATATCTCACTGTTTGCTCTCGAGTCGAAAGCTTTCGCACACAGACACAGCACACGCACGCTTAATGCAGCTGCACTTTGGTTAAGGCAGCTGTCAACGTCGCACCAATACAAAGCCAAAGGCACACACAGACACAGAGATGCACACTGATGCACACAGATATACAGAGGCTAGTCCAGGTATTCCAACAATTTGGCGTAATAATTCTTTTGCGCTTCAGTACAAGCAAAACAAAACAGGGGGAGAGAGAGAGAGAGACAGAGAGAGAGAGAGAGAGAGAGAGAGAGAGAGAGTGAGAGGAGAAGAAAAAAGAAATTCAAATTCAAATTCATTTCCGTGCCAATGCCAATGCGAATGCGTTTAAGCTATTATTATTTTTAAGTTTATTATTATAAATTGTTTTTGTTCTTGTTGTTGTTGTTGTTGTTGTTGTAGCTTCTGCTTCTGTTGCTGTTAGTTTTTAATGGCCAAGTGCATTGCAATTGGCGTAGCTGCTTTTGCTTATGGCCAAATGTTTTTAGCACCTTTGCCGCATTTCAAATACATTTTATAGTGTGTGTGTGTGTGTCGGGTGTGCGGGTGTGTGGGTGTGCATATATGGTTTATAAAAATTGAAGAATTTCTCTCAAATTTTTTTATGATTTTCTTTAGGATACGCAACGTACCGTTCCGGCTCTAACAGATGCAGTGCAGCGGGCATCCAATACCACATATCTCTGTCCGCAAAGCACCGACTCTATAGAAAGATTTATATATATATATATATATATGTATGTATATACTCTATATATCTATATGCTATAGTTATATGTATTTATATAGATCTTTGCTCTTATAGCTTTTGCGAAACGCGTTTCACGCACTGCGATGCGCCGCCTGCAACTGAAATAACGCTCTCTGCTCGTTGGCCCAGTCGCAGCTTGTTGTTTTTTTTTCTTCTACCTATATATATATATATATACATTATATATATTATTTGTTTTTAGTTGTTGTTTTTGGTTTGGTTTGCTTACAAATTTTAATGCGAAAATGGCAAATTTATGAAAAGTCGCCCGCCCGGCCACCAGGCACGGGCATGGCCAAAATCGTTTTGCTCACTCGCTTGTCAATTTGATTGCCGCTGCCGCTTTGAACATTGATTATGCTAGGTGTTTTCAGCACTGATGTTTTTCGTATACCCTGTACACACACACAATCGGGCATGCTGGCAAAAATAGTCAAGATCAACTGTAAAATGCAAATTGAAAGCGATTTCAATTTATTCACAATACACGGAAATCGATAAATATCGATTCATGCTATAGATGTGTACGACGAGCCATGCGGAAAATAACATTACTTGACTTAGCTATTTATCAATTCCAGTCGAGACTAAAAGACCCCTCTGGCATCGGCAGTCTGATTAAGCAAAGATCGATAAACATCGATAACAATCACAGCTCAAAAGTACTTGCAGCTTGCTTCTATCTAGTGAATCAGCATATGCTAGATTAAACCATGCTCAAGGCTACCTACTATGAACTCTCATTTAGCTAGTTAAGCACAGCTCTATAACACCGATAATTATCGACACCAGTTGTTAGCCCATGTAACACAGGACATATTAATACTTTTACCTATAAATTATTTACTTGCTATATATAGCTAATCATCGTAAAATTAATCAAGCCGTTCTTCATACCGTTTACATCTTAATTGGTCCGATATCTATATAGTACTCATTGAATGTTTCAGAGGCAAATTTTATTGATATTCTTTCTGTCCTTGAGCCGCTATTTGTAGACTTAGCTCTTGCTTATATTACTTTCATGATAGAACTCTATATCTTGATATCAATTGAAAATTTGAATGAATCCAATGTATATGTCAACAGAAATAGGAAGCTCAAGGCTGAGCATAGGGTATTTACAAGTTGATCATTTCAGCTCTTCAGCACATTTACTTGTTTTGTTTTTAGCTAAATTTGTAAATCTTAAGTGAACAAATCTGAGCACTCATTCAGTTTTAGACAATTAATTGAACACTAGTCGCAATACGTGTGGAACCATGTGTGTGCGTGTTACTGTGTGTGTGTGTGTGTGTGTGTGTGCGTAACTATTAGTATATAGTATTACTCACCGACGCCGCCTTTCCACATCCATTCTAAACTAATTGGTAAACGTCCTGTCCAATCTTCCACTGCGTCTGGCTTTCAACTGCCGCATGCAATTCGCCTCGCCTTCTGCTTTGGCTTTATTGTGGATGTGTTAGAGCAGCACTGCAAATAGTTAATAGATATATATATATTTGTATTATAGCGCATACCACCAACTTAACAGACAAGAACTAAGTGCACCAATGTAGAAAAGCCCAAATTAAGATCGAACTACTGAAAACCTTTTAGCTCGTTGTCTTGTTATTGAATGAATCGAAAATTTGTATAGCTCAGCGTATTAAATACCTAAATGCCTAAATGGTAAACTTTAAATTGTACCTGCTTCTATTTAATACATGATTCATTCAAGTCATTTGGAAAATATACAAATTTGCTGAGTGTCACCAATCATAGAATTTAGAAACTTATTTTAAGTGCTTTTACACCATATGGTTTGAGCGCGGACTTGTACCTGTTGCTAATAGTGAATGTTCACTGTATTCTGACCAACGCGTGAATACACATACACACATGTATACGTAAATATATACGGTTCCTGTATGCCAATGACAACGAATATACCCCACTTTGAGTAACTAAAGGTAGAGGGCATAATTATCTACGATCACGCCGAATGCGGTGCTTCTTACCTGCTGCTAAGGTACGCCTTAAAAGCCGTTGCTCCACTGCACGAGGATTGCTGCTGCAACACCAAAAAGAAAACAAGCAACAAATATATATATATGTATCAAAATTAGTTATACATGGAAAATATTGCTAAATAAATGTTATTTGCCGCTCACCTGAAGATGAAGCCCAGCTGGGCGCAGGAAAAGCAATAACTGTTGCTGTTGTTGTTCTTGTTAGTGATGGACTGCTGATGAGGTCACGAGCGTGTTTTTTGTTGTTGCGCGTATTCCTTGTTGTTGTTGCTGTTGTTGGGTTTTTATTCGTAAACCACTTGAGGATTCAAATGGTCTGCGAAGGAGTAGTAGATGCAAATGCGTAAGCGACAGCTTCGACAGCCGTCGGTAGCCAACGCCACATGCGGGCGGGCGGGCTGGCAGAGACGTGAACGACAGCCCAGGCAGGCGCACACTTATATATGTATATTTATATATCTATATACATATAAATTTATTTAAATATAATATATAGTATATTAATATATAATATTTATTATATATAATATATTTATATATGTATATTTACTAATATATATATATGCAGATATATGTGTGTGCCAATGTCCAGGTAAATGCGTTTGTAATTCGCCTCGTCAACTGGCACTAATGTTTAAGTACTTGCACGATTGAGCCGTTCCGTTATATTTATATAGTTTATTTAATTCATCTATTTTTCGCTTTTCTCAACTTTTTTTGGCAGCAAGTTTTTTGGCGAAACAAGCAACAGCAGCAGCAGCGACAGCAACAGCAGCAGCAGCAGCGATTTCGTTGTGTTTGTAAACATGCAATGTGTGGCACATTGATTGTTGTTTGCGCTGCGCGCATGCAACAGTTGCAACAGTTCTTTTTCCTTCTTTTTTTGGTTTACTTTTGGCTGGACGCAGCCGAGAAGACTTGGTTAAACGATTTTTGTTTTGTGGATTTTTAGCAGAGCCCAAATCCAAATGGCAGCGTCACAGCAAATTGTTCACCTATTTTACGATCACACTAAATTTTGCCCCGAAATATACCAAAATGGGCATTTTCAAGCGGCAAACGGTCACGCTTTTTTTTGGTATTTTTTCCGCATATATTCACTCAATTTTTAAACTAATGATCGTGTGGTATTTTCCTATGGAATAACCGTTGACAGTTGTTGCGATTGTGCCTTACATTTATTATTGCTTATAGTAATTAAAGTAAGTATAACGTGTATATGATTGTATTTAAGCCATATGAACTTAATCGAAATAACTTGCCGAATTTATATGTCGCACATAACAATCGAATATTATTTCGATAGCCGAAAAAGCAGCTCTAACAGTGTTCGCAATTCCGATAGTTCTTCGCAAAATATATGCTGTTTAAGGTATTTTCTATCTATAGAATATGTTCACACTGTGATCGATCGGTAACCCAAACTTTATTCAAATGAATTGCGCCTTTCAAACTATTACACATAAGATTTTATATCATATTATCACTACACATATATATTAAATAAAAATAACTATATTAAAAAGTGCAACGAAGACGGTAGACTTTCGACTATACACTATACGACTTTAGTTAAAAATACGATTGTAATATGGAAACATTTCGATTTTATGACTTCCTGTGTCATTTTTGTATTTCAAGCACTTAAGATTACGTTCATACATATATAATACTATGCGATGATGATGTCCATGTGTTGAAATGCAAAATACTTAACTTGTGACGTCAGCAAAAGGCTAACACATTACTTTTTGCAATCTTTTTGACATAAAGTTTGCGTACCATGAGTGTGTGTTTGTGTGTGGCTACACGTTTGTATGTGTGCGTAGTTTGCATACCAGCACAGTGTAGCCAAGTGATCTTAAACAATGTTGCTGATTACTCAGGTTCGTGTAACATTCGGCTTTTGTCGGCATCAGAAAACCTGATTCGCTTTGTGTGTGGGGTGCAATGGGCTAACACACACACCCAAAAGCAATGTATGCCAGCAAAGGGCTGTCCAGCCGATCGGCAGAGCGCAAAGAGAGCGAGAGAAAGAGAGAGAGAGAGAGAGCATGAAGTAGAGAGCGATTTTAGTATTTGTTTTGGTATTTAGTGCTAGAAAACGACAAAATAAAACACAAGCAGCAATTATTGTGCAGTTAACCGTTATACACAAGCAGCAGGCAGAGACTGCGACAGCGACCGCAGTAATCAGAGTCAGAGTCAGAGTCAGTGTCAGTTGTGGCCGTCAGTCGTTAGACGCGTCTCGTTAGCCGTGGACACAGCAATCGCAGCGCTTGGCAGTCATTCATAAATCAAAAATAAAAGTATATATATAAATACGATTTGTTAACTAGCTGGTATAAAACGCGCGCACCAATATAGTATATATAATCTTATATATACATATTTAAATATATACATATATTTATGTATATGTGCACATGTATCTATAGCATATAGCGTAAATCCATGCATATTTTTTGTCTTGTTTTTTTGTGACAATTCTAAAGACAAGATCGCTTGTGTGATCTATACGAGTGTTGTTTACATATATACATTGTGTGTCTCTATATATGTACATATATAAATTGAATTCCAAATATCTATATACTTCTTTGAAATAGTCTTCTATTTATTAACTTTCAAGTTATATTGTTAACAACAACAACAACAAAATGGTCGAGACCGTCGTCACCGTCGAGCGCACAACAACAACAACTGGCCCACCTGGCGGCAATCCCTCAGCCGGTGACAATGGCAACTTCTGGAGCGCCATTCGCTTGAATCTCGATTATTTTCAAACTGCGCCGGGCCTCATCAAGATTGTCCAATTGGTAAGTACATAAGTAGATACGTACATATGTGACTAACTGCATATACATACATGCCTATATAGTACACCAAATGGCACTTAAGCTCGGTGACAATCCCATTCACCTTGCCTGCCCTTCCCCATTCAACTGGCCTAAATAGCCAATTAGAACAGCTTGCAGCTGCAGTTGGGCATCATAGACTGCCTAATGCTTTTCAACGATACTTCACAGTCGATTTGTAAAATCTATCAATGAATCATTAGATCAACAATTTTACTTTTCTATAGAGATCTAAGACAAAGTAATTTAAAGTTGATTCTACTTTACTCACATCTGTTGCATAATGTAGATTTTAGTTCGTAATTCCCTTAGTGAAAGTAATTCCCTCTGACTTTGCGATCCTCCAAATGACTAATTATATCCACAACGAATATACTCTCTTTGCAATTGATGGGCCCGACGCACACTAGGAAAGTAGCCACAGCACATGGAAACAGCGAACATGATACGGCATTGCGTATACGCCGCATTGCCCGTCAACCTCTACGATCGTCCGCCCGTCCGCCTCCTCGACGCTTGCCACCTACAGAGCTTATCTGTGTAAATTGAACTTTTATCTATAGATTTCTCAATGCCTTCTGTCAATTAATGCACATTTCACGCCAGCTGGCCGCCATCTTTGTCCCAAGTATATACCCTGTATGAATTAGAATCGCTTCAACACTGAGGGTATTCTATTAGAATGAAATAGATAAACAAAAATTATAAATCAGAGATCATTGTTTCATTTTATTGATTTCTTTACGGGAAAGATCAGTACAAACTATCAAGCGATTAAGATGGATGAAGATACGTTTGGGTAGACGATTTTTGATTAAATTATTAGACAAGTCTCCGAAGAGTTATATATATAATAGTAATGTTAATTGACAAACATTCAAGCTGATAACAAAATTAGTTGCTAAAATCGAATCGAATATATAGACATAGAAGGATAGACAGATAGATAGACACAAGCTTACGACTGCATCTGAAATAAACTGGTATATATGTAGTGGATTAAGCATATATCATCATTATTTCATCATCATTTCTTATATGTATAAGAAATACTTTTGATCTATGTATCAGTCAATGAATATTTACATGTAATAGAGGTACATATATACAAAGAAAACAGGGTATTTTGCCATCATGCTAGATTTTCTCCATGTGTCATTAGCTATCTATAGTTTCATGGTTGTGTGTGTGTGTGTGTGTGTGTGTGTGTGTCAGGATCTCATTAGACGGATAAGATAACCATGCCAAAAGGGCACCATGTGAGCAAGGCATGTGGTCGAAATAACTTGATTCCAATTCTATATACATAGACATACATATGTATGTGTATATACATATCTGTTAATGACTTTTAAATCGAGTATGTAATTTATAAAAGCAAATTTTCAAAACACAAAAAAAAAAAGAATCAAAAAGTAGTTAAAATTGTACAGCTGTGCAATTTCACAGCTATTTTATATATATAGAGTATGTACTTATATGGAATATGAATTTATATATGTATATGTACATATATGTGTCTTATGTACATATGTCTTATATATATCAATATTTATATATATGGTTATATGTAAACCCAATTGCGGGCGCGTGGGAAGTTGCCACCAGTTAGACATGCGAATGCCGAGAACCCACAAGAACCGCAATGAAAACATGAACTAAATTAACTGCAGCTACATGTATACAAAATATATACATATATGTACATATTTATACTATGGGCACATACCACATAATATGTGTTTGAATGCCTAAAAAAAAAATGCAAATGACGTTTTCTTCTTAATTTTGTAAATTTAAAAAAAGAAAAAAAAAATGTTACGAAAATATTCAAAAAAAAAAAAAAAAAAAAAAAAAAAAAAAAAAAAAAAAA